TTTTTCCTCCCTGCTTCATGCATCAAACTGTTGTGTGGCCTGTCCTGATTCCTCTCCCATGGCCCTACCCCTAGATTTGAGGGGCTCCTTGCTGGGTAGTGTCTCCTCCAAACGGAGCCACATAGTTAAGGCTAGAATATCTTCCCCTAGGAGTTGGGACACCACTCGCTACATCATCACCAGCCAACCAACGTTATTACAGTGACAAACAATGTCAACTAATGTTATATCATCAACCTACATTGTAACAGTGACACATCTGACGACTGCAGGACAGATGGGGCAGATTGATCTATTGCTGAATACACAGTCAGCGTGTTTACATCGCACTGAAAACATGAGTGAGAGTGTTTTTTTCAAACTTCATATACGGGAACATTACTCTCACTCAGGCTGTTTATGTGCTTGTTTTGATAGCGTGAATAGCGATTTTCCTGAAATGCTTGTAACAGCGATTCGATTACATTTTTATTTGATACTGGATTAAAATGAAATATTCTGCTGGATTTAAAAAATATATATATTTTAAATATTTAATACTTCACCCGCAGCGGTCACCATGTTGATTCACTTCATCAGTTCGGAAAGGATTCTGACATTCTGCAGCATTTTTAGGGTCCTGAATACATTCCAGTTGAAAGGGTGCCAGATGGCCACTACCTCTACATCACATAGAGAAATGAGGCCACACTACCTCTACATGGCCATGTTCAAAACGAAGGGGTTAGTGCCATGTGGTAGGGCTAAGGGATGAACTGGGACATGTCCTTACTGTACAGTGTATTTATAATGAGTTATTGTTACAACTGTTACAACTGCTCTGTCCGCAGGCCCACAACATGAGGGTGATGAAGTTCAGCGTGAGCCCTGTGGTCAGAGTCGCTGTGGAGGCCAAGAACCCTGCTGACCTGCCCAAGCTGGTGGAGGGTCTGAAGCGCCTGGCCAAGTCCGACCCCATGGTGCAGTGCATCATCGAGGAGTCCGGGGAGCACATCATCGCCGGAGCAGGGGAGCTGCACCTGGAGATCTGCCTGAAAGACCTGGAGGAGGACCACGCCTGCATTCCACTGAAGGTGAGACGTCCAGAACAGAGGGACAGAGGCCGTTCAATAAGATGTGCAGGTTAATGTTATCAAGCTGATTTAGAAATGAATTCAAAATGTTTTTATTTACATGGAATCAGTTACATGAGGTGAAAAACATGTGGAGCTTCTCCACTTGACTGATATCTGATATTTCAGACTCCCCAACAAATTCAAGCACACTACTTCAAGTACAAAAACATCAAAAAAACAACCTGATCTGCTCCAAATTACACACACTCATAAGTATCAGTCCCCGAAATATGCCTGATATTTATTATCAATATCCATTAAGTATTTGTGAGAAATCAACTAAAATGTGGAAAAAAGCCTGATCTCGCAATGTTAAGATTAAATTCCTGCATGGGAATTCTTCCTTGGGTTCATGTCCCACCTGTCCAAAAATGGAAACAAACAAACAAATGCAGGTGAAAATAATTGATAGATACTCCTGTGATGCTTGCAAAGTGAAGGAATATAAAGTTTTGTAAAGCAAGTCTCATCTGAACACAATAAATACCAATTCTCTCTCCCTTCATCTCTCTGCAGAAATCAGACCCAGTCGTATCTTACAGAGAGACCGTGTCGGAAGAATCAGACCAGATGTGTTTGTCCAAGTCGCCCAACAAGCACAATCGTCTCTTCATGAAGTCCCGTCCTTTCCCTGACGGCCTGGGTGAGGATATTGAGAAGGGGGACGTCAGCGCTCGGCAGGAGCTGAAGGTTCGCGCTCGTTATCTCGCCGACAAGTATGAGTGGGAGGTGACGGAGGCCAGGAAGATCTGGTGCTTCGGTCCAGATGGGTCCGGGCCCAATCTGCTGATAGACATGACAAAGGGTGTTCAGTACCTCAACGAGATCAAGGACAGTGTGGTGGCCGGTTTCCAGTGGGCAACCAAAGAGGTGGGCAGTGATTCATTGTGACTCCAGCTACATTTCACTACTTACGTTTGTACTTGCGTCCACCACAATGCTGCAGTCTCTGTCTTTAACCTGCAGGGCGCGCTATGTGAGGAGAACATGCGATCAATTCGCTTTGACATTCATGACGTGACGCTGCACGCAGACGCCATCCACCGTGGCGGAGGACAGATTATTCCCACAGCTCGTAGGGTCCTGTACGCCTGCCAGCTCACAGCTCAGCCCCGTCTCATGGAGCCCGTTTACCTGGTGGAGATACAGGTATGTGTGGAGGCGGACGACCTCCAAAGCAAAGTGAAAAAACAAGAACGTTAACTATTAACTATCTGTTAACCTTCATATCTACATATTCTAGATTGCATTTTCTGTAAGAATATTTGGACAAATAGAGAAACATACATTACAAACAATGTTAGACTTTGATCCCCATAAAGTGGAAAACATTAATCTTTTCAATACAAAATTCGGAAGTGTCTCGCTGTTTATGTTCAACTTCTTCGTGCCAGTTTACCAAGTATTTCTGATTGCTGTGCCTCGTATTTGTACAGTGCCCCGAGCAGGTGGTCGGTGGGATCTATGGCGTGTTAAACAGGAAACGAGGTCACGTGTTCGAGGAATCCCAGGTGATGGGAACTCCCATGTTTGTGGTGAAAGCTTTCCTGCCTGTCAACGAGTCATTTGGTGAGTTTGTCTGTGAATCTGTTGTTTTTTGAATCTAACTATTAAACTTGTAGTTTCATGATAAAAGAGTATTTATTTAGTTTGACCAAATAGAGTTGAATAAAATTCAGTTCATTTTTCGGTTTCAGTCTCTGATACATGCTCAGATTCATTTGTTTACGACAAACCAAACTTGATGAAGATGTTAAGTAATTCCAGCTGATCAGAGTCACATTGTTGGCAGAGAGAACAGTTCTGTTTAAATGTGTTTGTTTCCTGCAGGGTTCACAGCTGACCTGCGCAGTAACACTGGAGGACAGGCCTTCCCTCAGTGCGTGTTTGACCACTGGCAGATTCTCCAGGGCGACCCCAGCGACCCCGCCTGCAGACCCCACCAAGTTGTTGCTGAAATTAGGAAACGTAAAGGCCTGAAAGAAGGCATCCCCGCCCTTGACAACTACTTGGACAAACTGTAAACTCTGACCCTGGATAAAAAAAACAAAAAAACAAATCAATCTCTAAACCCTACCCCGTGGGCACTTTAAAAATATTTGCACAGGCTTACAGATACGTTGCACAAACTTGTTTTGACTTTGAGTCCGGAGCAGAAACAAACATTTAAGTTTTCCGTTTTAGGCTAGTGGAAGCAACAGTGCTATTTTTTTTTTCATTTCACAGCTACAGGACACCAAGTGCCTAGGGCAAGGGTTTTGGGGAACAATTAGATTAAAGCAGTAGTATTATCAATCCCTTGTTTCTTCTATTCCTCCATATCACCTCCTTTCCCCCTCACCCCTGCCAGGTCGGCCCTGTTCAGTGCACTGTGATACTGCTGCAATAACGCGTATTTAAATAGGTCATGGCCAGATAAAACCATGGGAATTACTTTAAAGTGTAAAATTCAAAGCTTCCTGGATTGGACCTTTGTTCAGTGGTTGTACTGAATTAAAACATTCAACTCATGATGAAAAATGTGACTCCTGAAATTGTGTTATTGCGTCAGTCAGCTGAAACAAACTGAAGGGAAAGTTTGACATTTTGGGAAATAAGAACATTGACTTTCTGACAGTGAGTTAGACGGCACCATTGATACAAAGTCCCGCAGCTTGATTAATCTCTGAGAGGCCCCTGTTGACCCCCACTGTATGTGTCAGTGTTTCCCCAGACACCAAGAAACCAACCAGTACACTAGATTTGAGATAATAAGTTGATTGATTTAATAATGATGGATTGATATTTCTTATTTCATGGGTTATTGGGGTTATGCATATACTGTATAATTATTGAAGCCTAAACACACAAAATTCAAATACTGATTCGGCAACAAGCTTAAATATTTGATTCTGCCCTATTAATTTCTCCGTTAATGGAAACTAAAAACAATAATAATAGTGGGCTATTTTCTTATATTTAAAATTCTCAATTCATCAAAATCTATAACTGGTATAAAGGTATAGTGATGATGAAAATAATTTTTGGTTAACTAAGTTTTTTTTTGGGGCTAATTACATGACAGAGAGAAACTTGATTAAACACAACATCCCTCTACAAGATGGAGGACACGTCATAGTCGATTCTGTACTTCATTAACGTCCCCTCATCCGTGGGAGGGACAGTTAACCTGACTATCTACAGTGATGCTGAATTCACCTGCATGCACCTTTAAAGCTCACCACTCAACAATATAATTAAATCTGTATAAAAAACGACACATAGCCATTTACATGCACGGCACCATATTCTCAGGTAGGAGACACTGCACTCATTAATGTAGTGTTGGTGCTCTTATAACCGAGTAAATGAAATACAAGCACATATCATAAATTGTATAGTTATTATAGTGTTCATATACATACATGTGAATTTGCCATAAAAGAGGAAAGTGCTGCAAATAGACTATTAAATATTCCGTCTGTAAAAACTGTTGCTTTCCATGTATTTACGTTTTTAAGTGCTGTTAACGCCTATAAGTATTAACACATTTAATTCCTGCATACTTTAACTTCCCTATTACTTCTGTACTGTGAACTTACCACCAGCATTTTAATCTTAGGATTTTACTTATTTACTTACATGAATAAAAGAACAGACATTAGTGAGCTTTTAATGGTGCTAATAGATGTATTTTATTACATTAGAGAAAGCCAAGCTTTCCCTATTTCCTGTCTTTGTGCTAAGCTATGCGAACCATTTGCTGAGTTTAGCCCACTGTTGCATTTCAAGGACAGACACTATCAGTGGTACCATTCCTCAATGACTGTCTACAAGAAAGCACATTTCCCCAAATCTGCCATTTTTACTTTAGATGAAGAGTTAAACAAAACAAGCACCACAATATGTTTTCCTCACTCTTTAATCAATAGTTATTTCAAGTTACATATATAATGTTAATAAATGCCACTTTAATATACAACCCTTTAACTTCCGCACCAAGAAGGGAAGTTCTCCCACACTTTTTAAAACAAAGCTAAATAGAAACATATCTGAAGAGTCAGTGTGCATCCACAGAACAACCAAATGAACATATGCAAGGCCAAGAAGTGCAAGGTATCTTGGTTATAGGCAACTACCAAGCAAGGACACAAGATATCACAGATTGTACTGTATGTAGAAACCCGAAAATTGCTTACCATAACCATATTGTTAAGATTAGTATGAAGTTTGGTTCGAATTTGCCAAGAATTCATGAAGCCTACAAGGTCTTTAAGTCTATGGAAGTCATGTCAGTGAAATGCTGATCTATACTGAACAATGGTGAGGATCTTTTCTTGGCAAAATGTGATATTACTGTACATTCATACAGTTGCGAGTCTCCTTCGCACAAATGCTGCTGAGTACAAGAAGGGGAATCGTACAGCTTAGGAAGAATTCAGTGTCAAGCCTTATGCCGTCAATCTACAGCAGTGACATGGATGCTGTGATTGATCTAAGAGGCTCCTCCCTCCCTCTCTCCTTCCCTTGTGGAGTCTGTTACAGTCATTTCTGTTTCAGAGACTGGCACCACTACAACACAAAGGGATAAAAAGAAGTCACTAAGAAAGAGAGACAGCATCTCAAATGACGAGCTACGCCCCATGTAGTGACCTACATCGCCCCACAGCAAGTTCTCTTCTAATGTGGCCGACGGTAGGACACTATATGGAGAGAACAGTATGATGTCAGACATATTAGTCCCCAGTTCGGCTGCTGAGGTGTGGCCCTCCGCTGGTGTCAGTCAGTCACATTTGATGGAAGATCGTTGCCATGTCGAAGGTGACTATGTGTAGAAGATGACCTCAGGAATCTGTCCGTCCTCTACGGAAGTGCCATTGTTGTTGCCCGCTGCGTAGCAGAAGGTGAAACAGGTCTTTGTGCCGGTGGATGATGACTCATATGTAACCTTTCGCATTCCCTTCGTCCCATAATGAGAGTCTGGACCCTGTGAAAAGAAAGGAGGAAGAGGAAGCTGAATACTCACTGAATAGAAGCAAATTAGATTATCTTATTATAACCATTAAGGGGAAAAATAAAACAGCCTATACTCCAGTACACTGCTAAACAGCACTGTGCAAGTTTAATGTTTTGTATCATTTATTCATTATTCACAAAAAATCCCAGACCTTAAGTGTTGCGCAGGCAGTGTAGTTGACGTTGGGAAGAATTTCCACTGGTTCTTTGAACATCACTCTGAATGTGTTAGCGGAGCCGTCACAGCTGAAGCCTGTGTCGTTCTGTCCCAGCACCGTGTTACTGTCTGTGTGAATTATCTGCATGAAGAGAAGGTTTCACAAACATCCAAAATATGTTAAACAGCATCAGAGATGAAAGAAAGACAAACCACTGCTGAATAGAAACGTCTGAAACACCAAATATGGCAGTTGACAAATACAGCACGAAGCCAATCATGATGTCGCACTGACCTAAATATTTCATATATTATTTATATTCATTCTGCTTTGTGCAGCAGGGGCAATTTTGTCTGAGTCAAATCAATGTGATTGGATTTTACTAATAATTTTGTACATGCAGTTTTTATTTCCCAGTGACCATTAAAAGTTCAGGGTTTTTTCTAGATGGCTGCCAAGTGATGAGACTTTCATCTAATTTCTAAATGGTCCATACCTGTATGTTGACCTGGTAATCTGTGGGTCCATGTATCGAGCCATAGAGGCCGAAACCAACCACAAATATTCTTCTGTTTACTGAGAACCTGAGAGGAAACAGGGAACAGGAACGCAATAAGAAAGTCTATTGTGGAGAGAATTTTCCTTAACTATACTGTCATTATCTTGGTAGATTAAATCATAGGCCAATTATAATTCAATCAATTTTATAATTCATTTATTAAGACCATAAAATTATTTAAATGTTCTGCTTCACTCACCGTATGCGATCACTTGTCCCACTGTATCCCCAGCGGCTCTCCACTTGTCCAAAACGTGTGATGCTGCACTCCTTCCCGCGGAGGCAGCAGCGAGGCCGGTCGATGAATTCTACACGGGGCTTAGGGTTTACTGTGAAGTGGAGAAAGAGACTCACCACCTCTCTGTCACTGAGAATACTGGACTGGGCTGGACCTGAAGAGACATTGACACAACAAACAGACAATAATCAAGAGTCTGAGGTCGCCAAAGAGCGAGAGCAGTATAGAGACAGTGAGAGTTTACTCTATTGTTCACCTGCAGCAAACTCCTCGATGGTCATGAGAGGGAAGCGGATGAGTGTGAGCGCTTTGCCCAGGACTTTGCGTTTGTTTTCAGGTGTCGGCTGCAACTGCTGCCTGTGAGCCTCAGCCTCTGCCCAACGCACTGCAGCTCCGAACAAACGCACCTCCCTCACCCCCAGAGTATCCCTCTCCAGCACTGCCACCAATGTGTCTAAAGGAAGGAGACATAAAAATCAATGGCCTGATACACAACACATTGAAACAAATAGTCTTCAAAAGGAAAAGCAACATTGAGGGTGAGAGTGCAGAATTTACCCAGGTCAATATCTGTAAAACCCTCAGCAGCAAGAGCGTCTCCAGTGTTCTTATCAATGTTTTCTAGACAAAGGCTGGCGAGCTGAGGTTCATCAAACAAACGAGCCTGAAAAAAAACATCACAGTTTGAGAAATGCATTTGTACATATGTAGATGACATGTTCACAAAACTGACAATGGAACTTAAAAGAGTTCATGATTAAATAAGTAAAGATGTTCTGATACTAGCATTCCTCAGATGCTGCCAAAAATGGGCTGGGTGGGGCATCAGCGAGTTAGTGAATCAGTGGATCCAGTTTGAATCTTTGAAGTAGATTAGTTTCACCTCGATAAAACTGCAATTCTCTAGTCCAAGAAATCACTTAAGCTCCCTAGCTTTATAGGGGATGTCATTTTTGTGTATGTCTAGATTTATTTATGTGTGTTTTATTTCAGTTATGACTGTCAAACTAGATTATAAAAGAAACTTCCATGGCATTTATTCTCTGTATGCATTTGTTTTTCAACCTGACCTGTGTAAGCAGCATGAAAGCGTTGTCTGCTCTCAGGTTCTTCTTGAGGAATTCCACACAGTGAGCCTCCAGGGCCGGCACTGCGTACTTCTTAGCTGTGTAGAGCGTGGTCATCACTGTCTCAGGCCCGATCTGGACTTCATCAGAGTAGAGGAACCTACAGGAGGATCCACATTGAGGTGAGGCTCCCTTTATGTCTTGAAAATGCCCACTTAGGCTTTGGAGTCCAACCTTATAGGTTAAGCTTGCTTCAACAAAACTCTGTATTCCAGGTGCATTGTTTTCAAAATGATGAGGACTTTTGGGACAATAGCACCAGAGCTTGTGGAATACCCAACCTACAACTTTCAGATTTGCTGATTCTGTAGAATCTTCAAAAACCAGTTAAAACATATGTTTTAAAGCAGCCGACCTGTTCTCTAAAAACAAATGTTTCAACTGTGGGCAGATAAAAATGTTCTTTTATCGATA